AGGGTCCTGAACAGGGTTCAGAGAGACGTGTGCAGCCCAAGAGGGCTGCACCCACCACGCTGGAAGGCAGGGAGCACGGTTTGAAGACCCTGAAGTGCAGTGAAAAGAGGATGAGGGAGGATGTCACCAGCCTGAACAGGGCTGTGATAAGTTGACCAACCGTCTAGGGCTGCCCGGGACCCAGGGAGCTGTCACTACACAAAACTACCAGTTTCAAAACAGGGAAAGTCCTGGACAAACCAGGAAAACTGGTTTCCTTAGGGAGAAACTCCCCAGCAGTGGAGAGAGGTTGGCTGCATTCTTGAGACCTGAAAGCAACTCATACAAAGAGACACTCGCCCCACCCATAGCCACCCCCCATCCCGGGCACACAGTGGGGCAGGGGCTGTGACAGAGAGAATCAGGAAGCCAGGATCCAGGAGTGGCCTGAGAACAAGGGGCAATAACTGACGGGATTCTCAGTGATGCCCTCAGACAAAAGCTTCCGTGTCCTTTGGAGGCCCCCTGGGCTAGCTCAGGCATCGCCTGGCCGGGGGCCTCAGTGTCTGAGCTGTGTGAGTGGGCCATGCTGGGAGACAACCTCTCCCAGGGCAGCCTGTGTCTCCGACACCCCTACTCTCAGCATCTGCTGCCCCGGAGAACCCCCATCTTCACTGTGTGGGTTGACCCGTTATCGGTCACACAGCACATACAGGGCTCTGGTTGTTCCTCATCCACTTTTTCATTCATTCATTCATTCAACAAACAAACATTGTGCATCCGCTGTGTGCTAGGCACTTGAGAGAGGCACTGAAGCTACAACTTGCCCTTACATCTAGTAAGGCAGACGTACATGAAACGAGTCACACACATAATAATGAATTTCCACTTCGGTACATGCTAGTAATGAGGAACTCTACAGAGTGACCAGGACAGGAGCCTGATCTAGTCTGGGGGGGAGGACTTCCCTGAAAAAATGACAAGTAAGCTGGAACCTGGAAGATGAGGAGAAATTAGCTAGACAAAGGGGATGGGGG